TGAACCGTCCCTTGACTTTATCCGAGGAGTGAATAGGAGATGAGGATGTACCTATCTGTGCAACCCACTCCAGTCCTTTCCCTGGATACTGTCTTACCCAGCTCATGTAATAGCTGCTGAAAGTGAATCCGGAGCCTTGGCAGGAGAGACGGAGGGAACCTCCAGGTCTTCTCACATCCCCGCCAGACTCCACCAACTGGACCTCAGATTGGACGCCTACAAAGAGAGTTATTTTGATGAGGTCTTCTACATACTAAAACAAAATATGGAGGAAACTCTACAAAGAGAGAAGAATTACCTCTCAGGACTGCTAGGAAGGACACCACATTTAGCCACAGGATCATTTTTGCTCCCTCTAATGAATGGAGGGGATTGACAGGAGAGGCTTCAGGAAAGCGCACAGACTTTGTGTTGGTGGGTGTAGCCTGAGCAGGGAAACCACGGGGCTCTTTAAGGAGGAAAGTGTGCACTGATTTACATATCTGTTGGGATAAAAGAGCCCCTCAGAGCATTGGTCTCAGAGATTTCCTTGCACACACCTTTCACACAAGATTTTGAATTGGTGGAAAAATCCTCAGTCCAATCAAGGGAAACTTTTCTTTTTTTTATGCTCAGTACATAGCAGGAAATAAAGCAAGATGTCATTAAACCTCCACAGTTCAGGAAAGTGTTTACAGGTAAGAGAAAGAAAGCATGCACTGAGAATAATTTCTCCACGCATGTTAGAGACCAAACATGAAAGGGATGACACATCTACGTCCAGGATGTTACCTCCACAATTGTTCCCTTGATCATGTACCTTTGAAGAAAGCAGAACAACAGTGAAGACCAAACCATATGCCACAATTTGTCAGTCGCAGCTGAATTACACTTTCCTCTCCAATCACCAAGGCAGAATCAAAGAAATCACAGGCAAAGAAGAAATAGCTGGACCCTCCTGGGTCTTCTTTGTTTATTACATTGATTTTAATTCTGCCATTATACTGATTTTATATATTCATATCATATATTCTATATTTCCCAAACTTGGGCAGCCATACAATTTGTAGCGTAATACTGGCAAGTACA